TCAAGGGGTATTGGTTGACTTCATGGGACTGGATGGGGTTTCTCTTCTCCCATTTTAATCCTCCAGGGCAAGGGCTGGGGACAGAGTCGGGTGAGCCAAAGTAATTAAGGAGGGAGGTGGTGGGGGACACCAGCCCAGAGTGAGAAGACACCCTTCTTTAGACCTTCCCAGAAACATCCCCTTCCCCTCATGCTCATGGTCCTTGTTCCAGGGCTGCACTCAGGCCAGTGACATGAGGAAGGGAGGGAGGGAGGAAGGAAAGCGGAAGGGACAGAGGGAGGGGAGAAGGAAGGAGCTCTGTGCACAAAAATTGTGCCCGTGCAGGAGCCATGAAGCAAGGACAGGACAGTCACTTCAGCTGTGAAGTTCTTTAGTGTAGTAGTGTCTTCTAACAAAACCTAATAAATTAACAGCTGTGGATTTGGGGCAGCAAGTACAAAGGCCACAAGTCTACAGTGACCCCTGCAACACTCAGTGCCAGCAACTGCGTCACCACTGCTGCAGAGCTGGGAGCACATTCATGACAGCATTTTTCAAGCTCCTGTCTGTGCAAACTACAGCCGGTCTCCTAGGAGTCCTAACACTTTAATTAGACCTAGCAGGTCCCAGAACAAAATCCCACAGTCCCATAAATCTATAGCAACAAGTTAGGCATGAGAACTTTAGTTACACCCTGGATGTAAGAGAACCCAAACTGCCACTTTCTTTCTGAGTCTCTAAATGACCCTTGACCAATCCCTTTACCAGAAATATTTATCCAGGTTAGCCTTGGTCTCTGAGACCTTGAGGACTTCTACTGATTTCTCTGTTGAATCCCTGGAACTACAACAATAATAGTTCTGAACACTTTATACTCATCATCTCGTTTATTCCTCACAAATATTATAAATCCTATTTATATATATGTATAATATTTATAGTAATAAGAATAGCAGATATTTTGCTGAGACGAGGCATGGCTCTAAACAGGTTACATGATTAATAATTCCGCATGAACAACACTATGAGGTATTATTACTGTCTCCATTTTACAGGGGAAGAGCAAGTCACAGAGAGATTAAGTTGTTCAAGGTCACACAGCCTATAAGAGACTTAGACTGAGAAGCAAAGCCTGCCAGTGTGGCTCCACTGTGCTATTAACCAGCAACATCTTCTGTAGCCCTAGCTAGCTCAAAATGGTTCTCAATGAAGAATTGCTGTGCGTTTTGCACTTCAGGCTGGTAGCACTGCTGATTTAGGTCTGCAGTCTAGATAACTGAAACTACTCAGGGTCTTTGTGAAGTAGCTTAGGAGATGCTGCTTGGACAAGACAGGGTCAGGACTTCTAAGGCATTTCCATGTGCTTCTGGAGAGTCAGGATGTAGGCTGGGGTTCATTATGGGACCCAGCTGTGTGACTTCCCTCATCAGCCCTTGCCCCCATTCCCCAAGATAGAGTGCACTGTTTCTTAAGGCATGGCTTAAAGAGAGTCCTTTAAACATGACAATTCTAGGGCTAAAGCGCAAACCTACTCTATAGAGACAGCTGCTGGAATATGCATTTTAATAAACTCTCAGGCTGAATTACTTTGAGAACCATCAAAGTCTACTTTGACAGGATACAGGCTTGTCTTCTGATTCTAGAAGTACCGTAAACCTGACTAGGGGTGCTTCCCACTCCTCTTTTCTGCTGAGCAGAGAAGCAGGGAGGACTAGAATGGAGAGAACATGCTGAGGGCATGCCTGCACAGAAAGCTGAGCTCCTTCTTGTCACCACACCCCTTGAAAGAGTGAACTCTGTATCCCCAGGAGAGGATGGGGAGGGACAGAGAGAGGAAGCTATGGAAAGCCTCTGGAAGCCCTATTACCCTGGGGCCCAGATAGGGGAGTCCCCTGAGGGAGGGAGAGAGTGGGGCTGTTGGAAGGGGAAAGTAGCTATGGGCCAGTAGCCTCAGGAGCTGAGAGTCACAGTGGGAGTGACTGTGGCTTCAGAGTGATGCCACAGCTGCAATGAACTCTACAGCACCCAGAGACCCAAAGCTTTCTGTAGGGCTCCTTTTGTTTTATTAGTGCTTCAGGAGTTGGAGCCTTCTGGACCCTGCTCTCCCGGAAGTGATTCCATTTCGCCACTAGGAAATGGGCAGCAAAGCTCAGTCTGTGGTTGGGGAAAGCAAAGGAAAAGATTTCATGATTCTTTAGCAGTGAATCCATCTATTTAGTGAGGTGGGGGATGGAATGGATCAGAACTAGTGAGAGGAAAGGCTTAGAAATGTTCTCTAGCGGGACTGGGAGGAAACGGTGAGAAGGCGACATTAAATGAAGGAGATAGTGAGTCCCTGACCCCTGCAGTTGGGATACTTGCACTGAGTGGGACGATTTCCTGCTATAACCTATCCTCAGGCAATGAAGCATAAGCACAGAGCCAGGAATGCTAATCATTGCTGATTTTTGTTAAGCATTTCCTTCGTACTAGGCACTGTACTGGGCTCTACATGCATCATCTCATTCAGTCTTTACAACATTATATGAAAGCTCTTACTACTGTGCCCATTTTACAGATGAGGTTTAGATAGCTTATACTACTTGCCCAAGGCCACACAACTAGTAAGTGGCAGAGCCAGAATTGGCACCCAAGTAGTCTTAATCCAAAACCGCATCTGCTAGGGCTTAGGAAGGAGCCCACATAGAGCTGTGGGGATGCTGAATCCTTGACCTGTGGCTTTACATGGGCAACCTCTCTTCAAACCTTACAGCTCTTGGAAAATAAAGTGAATGGCTGTATCTATCATGGATCACCTTGGGAATGAGTTCAATGCTGGTATGAAAAGAATGAAAGGGTGAGAAGAGGGTCTCAAAAGTCTAAATCTTAGTATGGTTCCCTCCTTTGGCCTACCCACTCTGGGCTGAAGAAATGCTAGGATTGAGGGGCGAAGCAGATTGTTAGATCTGTTTGTTCCATGTACTGGGGCCTCATAACATTTTTGGAGCCCTTGTTCAGTGACTCAGGTAACTCAGCCTGAGGGTACCTTTGCAGGGAGTTCCCCTATCTCTTATCCTATGTTACTACATGAGATTCTTCCTCCTTCTTGTAACCCAGTTACATTAAGTGGGCCTTTTCTTATTGCCCAAATCCCGAGTATCTGCCCCAATAAGTTGCCTGTATCCCATTTTAGTAAGAATAGAATCTTCCCTTTCTACCAACAGAGCTTCTTAGCGCTTTGGCCTTGCCTGGGTCCTGCTTGCAGACTTCTGTTCTGAGGCTCATGCTTGTACCTAGAATGATTTCATGTTCCTCCTCTCTCTTTGTCCCTCTATCAGAACCTGCTTTCAGGATGGGAGGCTTAATAGGCTGATCCTCCCAAGAGGTTGGCATTTTAACTGTTGCCAAGGCCCTGAGTCAAAAGAATTATATATTTAAAAATTTTCAAGCCCTTGGGAGCGGATAGGGAGAGATTGGAAAGGCCAATGGAACATTCTTAATGTTCCTGGAATGCCACAAGGTGGACATAAAATTCAGGCTTCTGCCAAGACAGGACCTGGATTATTTTGGTTATAATCAGAATCTGTAATCTGCCCCCACCCCAGCATTCAGGGCTTTGACCAAGTCTTCCAGACAATGAACCTCTATGATCCAAGCATCATTTTCTCAGAGCTCCTTAGAAGGAGGAGAGCTAAGAAACTTCTTGAAATACCAAAGACCAAGCAAACAGGTGGTAGTGAAGGCAGAAACAAATTCCTCCCGAGACTAGTTTTGTCCTATAGCCTGGAAACAAATCCAGTCTCCACCAGACACAAGGTGAAATTTCTGTCTTGGTTTTTTTTTAGCACTGATATTAACATTGTTCTTTTCAAATCATCTTCAGAACAAGAACTTTTAAAATACAAATAAGAAGCTGTTCATTTTGCCAGTGAGAGAAATTAAAGGCAGCCAGCCTTGGTCAAAGGAACATCTTATCCTTTGCCTTTGATAAGGACAATGTTCCTTCCATTGTACTCTAAAAGGGTAAAATGTTCTTGCCCTCTTTTATTCTGATTCGTGGCTGAGGGTTATATGAAAGTTCAGAGAAGGACATGATTTTTAGTACGGGTGGTGGCAAGTTTACCAGATGGCTTCCTAGCCAACATATTCCTCCCCCTCACCTCCAAACAAAATATGTACCCTGAGAATGATCTGATCTCAGTGTTAGGAGAAGAGGGTAGGTAGCAGGGCATGGTTCTGTCATTGTGGGCTATTTTGAGGGGACTTCAGCAGTCCCAAAAGAAGGAAAAAAGAAGGAAAAGAAGGGCTGATTCTCCTTTTGTGAGCAGCCATTGGAGCTGCTTCAGGGACTAACAAGCCAGCCAGAGACAATGTCCTCTCTCAGGAAAGCACTAAAAGCATCAGAAGTGCTCCTTTCATGGGGAGCCAACAGTTATTTTGGCCTCTCTTTCCATTAAAATAGGAAAGCATTGAAAGGAGCCATTGGTGGCATAGTGTGGAGCCTCCCCATCGTGGCAGCATTTCTAACTGCGTTGAGAATTAACCACGTTGCTCTTCCTTTTCACCATGGAGGAATTTCTAGATTTTTATTTATACCCTACCACTTAGAACATCTTTCACTGTTTCAGCAAATTGCAGCATAAAAGATGGAGAAGCCAGCAGGGGCTGTGCGCACAATAATAGCTGTGGTTGCATTTAAGACATTCAAATGCCAAGGGTGCGCTTCTCCCATTAAGTCCAACATAAGAAATCAGGTGTGCACAACACTGCTGAACAGAAGACCCCAAAGGACAGGTGGAGTTTCTGGTATGCTGTGGTGGTGGTTGGGGGGTGAGCTTGGGAAAGAACAAACAGGCATTTTCATTTTCCAAACTAAGAAGCAGTTTCCGTGGGGGGTGGGGAAGCTGTGGGGATGTCAGAAATTCTTCTAACGCCATGGACCTGCCCACACCTGAGTCAGATAATGATGACCTTCCCCAGGCCCTGTTTTCCTCTCCCCCTCCCCAAAAGACAGCATGAGCATGAGTAAACCGGGTACTTACAGGTGCAGAAGAATTTGGAACAGGAAAATGGAGCTTACAGGCTCCCGAATGCCTGCCGAGTCAGTTGCATCAGATTAGGAAGTGATGATCGTAAGAATAAGATGTTTGGAAAATCTTGTCCCCTGAAAGCCCCCTAGTTTTTCTTCTCAGCCCACATCCAAACTCAGACCACCCCCAGGACCTCTCTCATCCTGCCAGACTGCCTGGTGCCTCCGTGCCCCTTACCGTGAGGGTGTGCTGGCAGTCACACTGCCTCTTTGAGCCTGTGGCCCGGCAAGGTAGTCAGGCTCCTGGGATTAGGTTGGCAGGAGTGACTGTCCTCCAAATGATTAGCCCAGAGAAGGAGAGAGAAAGCAAGCAAACCCAAAATCGGGTCCAGGGTAGAGAGCTCCAGGTCCTTAGCATGTTCCTGGCGTATTCCAAAAGTGGCATCCACAGCAGAGAGAATGTCCCAAAATAGCTCAGACTGCCAATGCCTTGCTGAAACCCGAGAAAGAATTGCTGAATTTAAAGATCTGGGTCGCTGTGGGTGTGTGATCAAAGTGCAGATTTTTTGGTAGGAGGGACTCAAGCCATGAGTTTAGGAGTGACATAAGGTCACTTGGGTCATGGCCTGCCTTCTCTTTTCCAACTTGCTGAAGTTGGTGGCAATGTCAGAGAGCTCCTCTATGCTGAGGCAGGGGTTTGGAAAGAGGTCCTAAGGATGCTGTTTTCATGCCCAGGTCTCTGATGCACTAACAATATGAAATAGCAGTGCTCTGCTTTCTGAATTTCAAACAAAGGAACTCATAATATGCCAAGGTTGCTTTAGGATATTGCTGTGTGACTGATGCCATTACGTTTTCAGTAGATTTTTCATTTCTTTTGGCCTTTAGCATAAGTAAATGTCAGCTTCTTAAAAATCAACAGAGAAGAGCAAACAATAGGGTCTCTGTAATTTTCTTGGGATTTGAGAAATCTCCCCTCCCTAGCTTCTGACTGGATTGTGTCTGTACACTGCTGCCTGTGGTCCTGGGAAGGACGAGGTCCACTCAGACATACTGTCTCATTTTTATATTTGCTGAGATCTTGGGATACTATCCTTTTGTCAGGTATGTCGAAACCTCAGGACTGTCTGCAGAGTGTGTGGTTTAGTATGTGGAAAGTTCAGCACATGTCATTCTTGGACTGGCCTTGGGGTTTAAGAAGAAAAAGCCCAGAATTTGGTTTCAAATTCCAGCTCTGCTTGTCTTGCTGTGTGAAATTGGGTGAGTCAATTTTCCTTTCTGGACCTCAGTTTCCTCTTCTATAAACTGAAGACAATAATCTTCATCCTAATTCTAACCCAGTGGTGTAAAGAGTGAGAGTTGAAAGAATGCTGCAAAGGGAAGGGTTTGGCACTCTCAGTAAGTGGTGACATTTTTCAGTTCTTCAGGAATCCCTGATTGGTAGCCACTACCTGCATCCACATGCCTATAGTGAACCCAAGACATCCCACAGTACTAGGCACTGTGAGCTTCACGTCTAGGAGCCTAAATAGTTTCTACTTTCAAGTTGTGGGACTTTTGGCAAGTAGCTCAATGCTTAGTAGCTCAGTTTTCCCATCTGTCAAGTGGGTATACAAACTAATAATAAGACAGGTCCACAATCCCTTATCTGAAACTGTTGGAGCTAGACATGGTTTAGAGTTCCGACTATTTGGATTTTAGAAAAGCAATGTGGTACATGTAACATATATATCACACCTTAATGAAATCAAAGATACTACCCTGTGATCAAAGTCATTAATATTTCTAAATGGGATAAATAAATAGCCTCATGTCAATTCAGGCCCAGTTTTGCCACCAAATGAGCTTGCCACAAACTTTCAGTTTTCAGAAGCTTTAGGATATCAGAGAGGCACATAGGAAGTTGTGGACAATGAAAGATATTCATACTTATTTAGTGCATGTAATGTACCAGTCATTGCTCTAAGTACGCATTAACTCTAATTGGCCCAATAAGCCTATGAGGTAGGCAGTGTGATTATTATCATTCCCATTTTATAGATGAGAAAACGGAGATTCAGAGATTAAATCACTTGCCCAGGGTCCCAAAGCCAGTTAGGAGCAATGCTGGGATTCCAACCCATGCAGTTCAACTCTTATCCACCTTGTCTGCCTAATGTATGAGGTTAAACTGAGGCTCTAAATGCCTATGGGGGCTGAGCAGGTCACTGAAAAAGTAAAGGTGGCCCATGGTACTAAGGCAAACTGGTGAGCACATGCCCCACCTACAGAGAGCAGCTTGTTCAGCTCTGGCTGATTGTTGCTATATCGGATTTAGGATCGAAGTCTTCCTGTTTTTTATTTTATTTATTTATTTTTCAGAAAAGCCAGAAATCCAGCTTTCTATCTAAAATTTCCTGACTTTTAAAGGTTGGCAACTAATTTTAAAAATGTTAAAAACATTGTATGGGTCAAATAAAATCTGTCTTCAGTTTGGATTTAGCCTGTGGCTGCCAATTTGCAAGCTCTGCAATGAATAAATAGATGTGAAAGTGCTTTGGAAACTTAAAAACGTGTTCTAGAAACAGAAGGGTCTAATATTAGGGTTATATCTTGTTTTTTCCTTGACTGTGGTCTAGTTTTTTAAAAACTGGTGTTCCCGGCCTGATGGAGATGAAAAGTCAGAATTAAATGGAGACTTCAGTGAACTTGAGTGCTTCATTCCTTTGGGAGGCTGGATAAATGAGAAGCCTAGGTGTATTGGATGGATTAAGCCTCAGAATTCCTGCCATACCCATGAACCCCTGCTATGGAGTTTCCATCCACAGGCCCTAGCTCAGGGAAGTAGCAGTTTCTTATGAATAGGTGACTATGCTTGGTATCACATGATCCTACTTACCCCTAGCAGTAGCCAGTTGAGCCAGGAGAGGGCATCTGATCCATGGGCAGTCAGTTTATAGGCTGGCAAACAGCCTATGAAGGAACCTAGGATGAGAACTTTGCCCAGCAAGTACAGTTATTGAATTTGGACCAATAAGATTCTCTCTCGGGGAGTTTGAATACCAGACCTAGAAAGGGTGAGCAGTTGGCAACAGGGGCAGAAGCTGAACACAGAGAAGGCAGACAGCAGGGCCCCTGGATAAGCAGGAACAGGAGAGATTACTGAACCTCAACTATGTGCCAGACTCTTTACATGTTGTTTTGTTTAATACATTCAAAGAGCATGTGAGGTAGGTATTGATATTATGTGTATTTTACAGACGAGGAAACTGAGGTGAAATAACTTGAAGTGTTGGGGTTCAAGTTCAGACCTGTTTGGAGTTAAAATCAGAGTGTAGGAACCCCAAAGCCAGTGGTTCTGAAACTCTAGTGTTCCAGAATCACTTGGGTTAAATGCAGGTTCCTTGGTGTCACCCCGGACCTATATTGATTCTGACTCTCTGAGGGTAGAGCCTCCTTCCTCTCACAAATCTATGTTTTAGCAATTTTTTTAGGGAGCACTTGGTGCAGGGGCTCCCCACCACAATTTTATTTTGAGAAATGCAGTCTCAGAGGGTATGGCAAGTACTGTGTACTGTGCTTCCATCACCTACAGAAACAAGGTCAATGTCAACAGATGTGATCAAACTCCAATTTAAAATCTTTTGGAAATGGGGCCAATTTTGTAAAAAAGAGGACATTAGTTTGTTCTCTTCTCTCATCAAGGAAGTCTACATTAATACCAGTTATTTAAGAGACGATAAGATTGAGATGAATGCTCAGTAGTTGTAAACATGATTGGATCTACACTTCTGGGTGGGTGCAGAGCTAGCATATGTTCACTAAGCATTTTCTATGAGGTGCATAAACTGGAGAAACTCAGTGCTCTGGCATCAAAGAACACGAGAGAAAATAACCAAATGCAGATAGACATATCGTAAACCATGGAGCTTAAAATGTAAACCTACTAGCTACGCTAATTGTAGAGTTTCTTCTCAGCCCTAGAGAATTTGTGTAAGAATCCCATCCATGCCATTATTTACACCATTGATTAAAAATGCTGATCAGGAGACGGTCAAGGCTAGGGACCTCCTTCTTGGTTGTTGCAGATCTCCTACTCTGGCAATGGTGTTCAGCTGGTTTTGAATTTTTCTGCTTTTAAGAACTCTCCCTGGGAAGACTAGTGGTCTGAAGGTTGCTTGGAGAGTCTCAAGTCAGAAACTGATTTGTGGTCCAAATGCTTCACAGCATCACACACTTATTCCTACAAGAGAGCCTTGTGGTCCAAAGGGTGGCACAGGTCAAATGTGTTGGCCAAGAGTCGCCTCAGCAGGGCTTGAATCTGCACTTGGCAACTTTTATTTCACTCTGTCCATTCCTGTGGATACTTTATCTGTGTTAATGTCCTCATTTAGGCTAAGGTCAAACTCCTGTTTTCTCTCTTCTGGCCAGAAAGACTTCCTGTCTTACAGGTATATGATCTTATCTGTGTTGATATTTTAACTCTGAGTGATTCCCTAAAGCAGGTCCTTGGACAAGTGCCCATCCTCCAGGAAAATTGCAGCAGTCCACCGTGCAATGAGAAAGCCTGAGGACTAGGTAGCAAATGTTTCGCAGAGAAGAGAAATCTATTTCCTGTATTGTTCTTTTTTCTGAGGTTATTTCCTTCTCTTTTGGGGTTGAAAGGAAGCCCTTTCTGTTTAGAAAATGATGATTTTAGGTTGTTTTGTTTCTTAATGCTTTTACTTGGAAAAATAAAAATCTGGAAGCTTAATATCAGTCCCTCAGTTTTTGGGTTGCATTAGCTGCAAGTCTGGGAACCTGGTCTGATTTTGTGTTCTGCTAGCACCTCTAGGTACCTCCTATTGCCACTTATGTTCTAAGTGCTTATAAATTACCTGCTTCGTAATCTGCAGCAGAATCTCGCTGAGGATTGACATCAAGCTTACAGCTCTGGAGTTTATGGTATACTGGTCTGTAGTTTCCTTATTTAAGAAAATTGGGACACTGCCCATTTGCAGTCCTCTGGTATCCCTCTTGTTCTCTCTGATTCCACAGATCCTCCAGGACGGCACCTAATGCAAGGCAGTTCCCTTTGCTCTTCTTATAATGTTCTTTTCCCTATAGAGTTGGACGTGCATATACATGTTGTTTGGGGAATTTGCAGCACATCCAATGAAAGCATAATTCCCAACTAAGAGTCAAACCCTTTTCTTTGGAGCTACCCAGAACACACCTACCCTCTCTTTCGTATGACAGCCCTTCAGAGACTTGAAGACAGTGTGTGACTCTCCTGTGAGTTAAGAGCACTGGCTGAGTCAGACAGACCCGAGTGACAAGCCCAGCTTCACTCTCTTTCAGCTGTGAAAGCCAAGGTAAGTTACTTGATTTTAATTTCTCTCTAGTTCAGTTCTTTAGCTGATTTAGAAAATGAGAGTAAACCGCTTTATTGGCTTATCATGCAATAAATAAGATGATGTATGTGAAGTGTTTAACATAGTGCCTGGCGTAGTAAGCACTCAGTAAATGCTAGCTATTTCCCCCTCTTTATTTATAAAGAGCTGGGTGGGCATTTTAAGTGTCAGGGCTGTGTGTGTGAGGGGGGAAAAAGAAAGTAGGGAGGATTTCTATTTCCCTGAATGATCAAGGAAGGCAGAAGATCCTAAAGTAGAGCAGGTATTTCTTTAGCCTTAGGTTATCTGTTTTCAGTTATCTGGGTGCCTATTTGCTAAGGCTCTGGGAGAAGATATTGTTGAGAATCTAGGGAA